AAAAAAAAAAAAAAAAAAAAAAAAAATCCTTTTATGTCTATGTTTTGCCCGCATGCATGCATGTGCACCCATGCACGCCCGGTTGGTGCTTATGTAGTCCAGAAGAGGGCCCCAGATCTCCTGGAACTGGAGTTCCACTGAGCACCATCTGGGTGCTGGGAACCAAGCTAAGTCTTCAAGAGCCCTTAGTACCTTTAGCTGAGCCCGTTCTCCAGCCCCACTAAACTCCATTTGGGGAGAGCCGTTGGAGCAGAAAGCTATTCCGGATTAAAGGAGTAGCACTGTGGGCGGGCAGGAGTCCTCCGCTAAGCTTCAGAACGGGGTTAACTTTCAACGAGGTTGGATCACGCTAACAGAGGAACGGCGACGGAAACTGAGACTGGAAAGGCAGGCAACGGCCCATCGTAAAGACTGAACACTACAAGGGCCGACGGTGTGCCAGCCGCCCCCATGCCATTTTAAACTATGTGTGTGTCAAGAGTCGTTTTACAGATTTAGGTGCAATGACGTGGGCAGCAACACTGCATGTCATACATGCTTTGAGGATGCCCAGCAGGTCTGCTTCCCGGATGGCACAGTCCTCTGAGCCCCTAGTCTGGCTGTTGAATTCTCTTCCAACGCCTGGCGTTGTCCCTGCGGCCTCGGTCCCCTGCTCCTCGTCCCGCCCCCGCCATGCCACGTGCGGGAGAGTGGGCGGCAGGAGTACTTCCGGGTGACGGAGGTCGGGCCCGGCAAGATGGCGGCCCCCTTGGAGCTGAGCTGCTGGGGAGGCGGCTGGGGGCTCCCTTCGGTCCACAGCGAGTCCCTGGTGGTGTTGGTGAGGGCGCCTCGCGGGCCGGGGCGCGGGAGGACCGGGCTGGCTGGCTGCGGGCTCCGCTGGGGACGGGCGGGCCCCCTGCAGGCGTCAGCTCGCGCCGGCCTGGCTGCGCGGACCCGGCGGTGGGAGGAAGCTCGCCCGCCCGCTCGCCCGCCCGCCCGCCCGCTCGCCGGGCATCCTCAAGCCCTCCTGCAGCCCCGGGTGTCCCCCGACTGCAGACCCGGGAGGGACGCGGGCAGCCTTCGGCCTCTGCGGTTGCAGCAGCTGTCAGAGCCGCGCTGCAGACCTGCATGACTGCTCCGTCTAAAATGTCTTTTTTTTTTTCTTTGCAAACTCTGTTTCAGGCTTATGCCAAGTTCTCTGGCGCGCCCTTGAAAGTCAGTGTTATAGATAACACCTGGAGAGGTCCCAGAGGTACAGTATGCGCTTCCACACGCCCCCTCCTGCTCTTTTAACACTGGCACCCCTCCTTGCATTGAAAGCCCTTGGGTATATAGCCCCCGAGTACCTCGGGTGTTTTAGCTTCTTAGAATGATCTTGGCTGTGGGTTGGTTGTGATTTGATCACTCTGAGCAATAACTCAAAGTGCAAGCCAAATCGGTGGAAAACAGGAGAAGTGAAAATGCTCTCCAGAACTGCTCCTTGTGAAACTACAAGCACGCACTCTCCCATGTGCAACTGGTATACTTTTTAAGGTATTGTAATCTTCAGAATAAATCAGGATGTTTGCTTGTGTGTAAACGGTTTTTGATTATAGGTGATGTGCCAATTTTGACAACTGAAGACAGCATTGTTTCTCAGCCTGCAAAAATACTAAACTTTTTAAGAAAACAGGTGGGTGGCTCCTTTTGAAGAACTAGATAGTTTTCTGCATGTTACTCTCTTTATTATTATTTTAGACTGGGTTATGCTCTACTGTACCCTGACTGCCACTATGCAGCACAGACTGCCATCAAATGCTAGGATTATAGGTGTAACCCATCACACCTGGCATCCTGTATGGCGTTTTGTTTGTTTTTGGGTTTTGATTTTTGGAGACAAGGGTTTCTCTGTCTATCTTTGGCTGTCCTGGAATTGACTCTGTAGACCAGGCTGACCTTGAACTCACAAAGATCAGCCCACCTCTACCTCCCGAGTGCTGGGATTAAAGGTGTGCTCAGCCACCACCCAGCAGGTTTTTGGTTTTGGTTTGTTTGTTTGGTTTTGATTTTGGTTTTTTGAAGACAGGATTTCTCTGTGAAGCCTTGGCTATCCTGGAACTCTCCCTGTAGATCAGGCTGGCCTTGAATTTACAAAGGTCTGCCTGCTGCTGCCTTCTGAGTGATGGGATTAAAGGTGTTCAAAGCCACTGGGCTGGCTTTTATTTTTAATTCATTATAAGGTGGTTTTATTTTTTTTCAATTCTTTGGCCAACTGGGATTGCCTGGATTTTGACAACAGTGATAGAAAGACATGCTTCCATAAAGCATGCATTTTATTGTGATTTGGAAGTCATAGTGAAGTACATAACTGTATATTTTTATGAATTTATTGAAATAATATAAGAAGATTCAGTTTAAGTTATTCAAGATTACTCTTGTTGATAACATTATCACTTTATTCCCGTTGTTACTATACATTTCATGCTAAGTTTGACACCTGAGTTCCTACCAAATCACAACTTATTTGCTCATTTATTCTTTTGTTTTGTTTTATTTTTGTACTGGAAATTGAATCTGGGATCTTGTGACTGGTAGGCAAGCACTCTACCATGAATTGTATTTTACTTTTTAAGAAGCACTTATCTGATAGTTATAGACTTTATGAAATCGTGCATCTAAAATGTGTGAAAGTGTAAATATTTATGTAGTAAACCTGTGATGTCTAAACATAAAGATTCATATAAGCACGAAAGTTATAATTGGTTTGTCAGTACTCTAAGGAAAAAACCCTGTATCATTAAAATGTAAGCATATTCTAAATTGAAGAGTTTCCTTTTGTATGCAGAAAAACATTAGGAAGAACTATATGTTTTTTCCTTTCTTATTAAAAGTAATTGCTTCTTGTGGACTTTGTACCACATGCCATCCATACTCGGAACAAAGGCCATTAATGAGTGTCCAAGCAATAGAAGTCAGCCGGCAAACTGTAGGCAGCATTTGTTCACTTTGTGTATGGTGTGGTGCTGAGAACCCTCTTTGCATTAAGGATCAGTATTCAGTGGGTTAGTATTTACCCCCCTCTTAATGTCAGGATTGACATTTGTGAGGGAGAATCGGAGTTCTAATTTGCTTAGCTTCCTTGTCCTTGGGATGTTCTCTGACCTCTGAGACGTTTTGTTTTGGTTTTGAATAGAAATATAATGCTGACTGTGAACTCTCAGCAAAACAAGGGGCAGATACCCTGGCTTACATTGCCCTCCTAGAAGAGAAGCTTCTCCCTGCCGTGGTGAGTGTTTCTGGATATTGCAGCATTTTGTCGTGACTTAGTGAGAATGTTGTGGTCTGTTTAGAAAGAACAGAAGAGTGGGAGGGTCTTAGAGGAAATTTTAGCCTTGATCTTTTATATATGACAAAGCTGGATTCTCTTACACTTTTAACTTCCCACTGAAGTGATAGTCTGGTTGATTTGTTTGCTTGCTTGGCTAGGGAACCATTCTACCAGTGAGTTCCACTCCAGCATAATGTTGTTTTTTAAATAAATACCACTGATGGAAGATGAAACTTTGCTCCATGGATAGAATTGGTTATATTGAAGTTCATTCATTCGGTGAATATTTACTGAGCACTTAGTATGTGCTAGGCTCTATTCTAGATGTTGAGATATGGCGGTCAACAAAATTCATAGGTTTAAAATCATCTCATTTTACCTTGAGTCATTTTATCTGGAAATTTAAATGAAGTTACTTTCTTCAAAGACCTTTATGAAAAAACTGTCACATTGGTTGAGTGATGTTTGTTTTAGCAGAAGAACATCCCTGTAACTGTTTACCCTTCCTTTGGCAGCTTCACACTTTCTGGGTTGAGAACGACAATTACTTTGCTGTGACAAAGCCATGGTTTGCCTCCCGTATCCCGTTCCCTCTAAGTTTGATCCTGCCTGGAAGGATGTCTAGAGGGGCCCTGAACAGGATTCTCTTGACAAGGGGAAACCCACCCCTCTACCACCTCCAGGAGGTGGAAGCCCAGGTACGGGATTCTCCCAGCAAGCCCCGTTGGGAAGGGAGAGGAGAGGGGACCGGTGGCCTTCCCTAGAGATGCTACCTCCAAAGTGCCCTTCATCCTTTTTAGATATACAGAGATGCCAAGGAGTGCCTGAATCTCCTGTCAAACAGATTGGGAACATCTCAGTTTTTCTTTGGCGACACGTGAGTAAATTCCCTTAAAAGTCATTTTGCTGTAATTCACCATTTTGCTGTTTCCACCAGTATATTTGAAAAATGCTTGATTTGTGGCTTTCTTTGCCATGTTACTATAAAAACATCCTGAAAATGCTGCCATGGTGGGAAACACTATTGAGAGTGACCTGAATCTGTATCCCTGGGCCACGGCCACTCCTATTTGGCTGTAGAATAAGCTATCTCTTATCCCTTAAAAAAAGAAAGGAAAAGAAAAGTAGGGGCCAGTGGTTCTGCTGCAGAAGCTGAGGGCCCTTCTGAGTGAGGCCCTGCCTCAATGGCCACTGGGCTTCCTCCTCCGACAGGCCATCTAGTGCATGTCCCTGATCATGAAGCCACTGGCCACTGCCATGTGTGAGGCACACATGCTACCACGCCCTTCTTGAGGAGCACCCTGAAGGAAGCCACCCAACTGTCCCTCAGTCCCAGGACTGGTGGTTGGTATTGGATTTGTGTGGACTGTTGATACTTATTTACTGTATAAATACAACTCATCATTTTTATTATGTAAGAAAAGAGTCATTTTGATATGTTGTGCGGGTATATTCAGTGAGATGTGAGTTAAAGCCAGTTAGTTCTCCCATCCCCCAAAAGATCAGTTTTTCACTTCAGAAGGGGATCTGGGGGTACAGCCGAGTGGCAAAGCTCTCAAACAGCGTGCATTGAGGCCCCGGGTTCGGTTCTTAGCCCCGGACTTTCTCGGCTTTTATAGGAAATTTTTCTGTTGACCTTAATCTTATATTAGCTTAACATGCTGCATATGTGGCTGTGAACATATCAAAAATTCCTCCCACCCTGCTTCCAGTCCATAACGTTTGCAGTTTACAACCTCAATTTCCTCTGACTAAAATAAATGGCGAGAATATTTTTAAAACTACTTAGAAGGTAAAACTCTGGCCACCTCACTTTTGGAAACCAAAAAATGGTGGTAGATCATTCAAAACGTGACGCTGCCTATTCGACTCGGCAGATAGTGTGAAGAGAACTTCTAAAATACAGTCTGAGTCAGGCTTCCCTTTGATGCTCCTGACAGAATCCGTTGTTTCCAGGCCTTGCACCTTGGACGCCTACGTGTTTGGCTTTCTTGCACCACTTTATAAAGTGCGGTTTCCCAAAGTTCACTTGCAGGAGCATCTGAAACAGCTTTCCAACCTGTGCCGCCTCTGTGACGACATCCTCCACTGCTACTTTAGGCGGGGTCCTGGGGGTAAGTCGGTTCTCCTCTAGCTAATGTCTATTCAGATGGACTATGTTAATAGTCTCCTGGCAGTGCGGAAGTAAGCAATCCACGTTTGTGGATTGTCTTAGATTCTGGTTCCTAGCTTCAAGACCTGGTGGTTTCCCCATTCTGTCTGCCGCCATGTTCTTATTTCCATGGAGAAAGAGACCTCTGACCTTCACCATCCTCTGGACTTGACATGTTCGTGACTCTTCTTGGAAAGTACTGCCCCCCCCCCCAAGTGAGTCGTTTTCCTCTAAAAGATTAGAGCCCATGTGTAGAGTCCCTGCTAAAAAGTAGTGTTTATCTTCATGCAAACAGGCAGTCACTCTAAATGATTCTTACCTGCTGCTTCCAGCATTTTCCTTCATGAACAGAAAACAGTAGCAGATTGACTTTGGTGAGGTACACTCCCATGATTCTCCTTGAAAACTGATTACACCAAACTGGAGATAGAGTAAGTAGAGGGCTCTTGGCACTTAGGATGGCATTCTCTGTGACCGGGGCCTGTGCTTAAGGGACTGGGCACACTCTGTTTGTATCTGTGGAGGTGGCTGAAGTTGTCCTCCTAAGAAACAGGAGTTAGGAGATAGCTGGCTTAGGTGGCAGGCTGGTTTTATTTTTGTGGTGGATTATCTGCTTTACCTAGAGGGAAGTCTAGGAAACGGGAAGTTAGGGAACTAAGTAACACCCGACCTTGTGACTCTGGACCAGTGACTAGCCAACCTGACGGCAGCTCTTCCATACTTCCCAAATTAAAATGTCCCGGGATCGATCCCAGAAGGCTCTGCTTTAAAAATCCCTTTAAATGTCTTGGGTGCCTGATGAGTAGCTGGTAGGGAATTGCTACTTTAGCAAGATGCCTCTAGCGTGATAACCAGTGGCCTGTGTGTGTAGTGATTAGGGAAGCGGGCAGCATCTTCTCGAGACCACCTTGCCGTTACTAACCCTGTAGCTGACTGCATGTCGTGTGGCTCACTGTCTTCCAAGATCACGTCAGTGTTTTCCTTCCTGCTTTCCTAGAGCACTGCTGTCCCTCCTGACTTGATCCCTGAACCCAAACTATTTTCCTCTTTTGCTTTTGCGGGCGCAGGGTGGGGCATGGAGCAATTGGGAGGGTGGATAAAGGGGAAAAAAAAATTTTTTTTTCAATCTTAAATAGCTTAAAGTCTTTCAAAGTTTCCTTGCTTCCCCTGATTTCTCTCCTGGCTTCTCAGGCATCTCTCCAGCTGGACAAGAAATGATAGACGCCAACCTGCAGAAACTCACCCAACTTGTAAATAAGGAGTCCAACCTAATTGAAAAGGTCAGGTCGAGTTACCTCAGTCCTGCTTTTCCTTTCTGTGGGAACACTGTTCTCTGGGCTGTGTGTTCACTTTAACCTCTTAGTTTTAAAGAGTTTACTTTTCAAAAGGCTGTTTATATGTACTTTGAGTGGAGATCTATTTAACATGGTGTTTTGAAGCCAGCGGCGGCCCGATCGTACCAAGGGAAATCTGAATCATTGTATTGGGTCCGCCTTTTACTGTGTAGTTTGCATTTGTCAAGTTGGGTGAAATAAAAATTCCCTCTAAAGACAGCAGATCTGAAGCAAGCCTTGCTTGCTGCCCTTGCTCTGTCCTGAGTCCCTTCCTGCAGGGTCTCGGCACTCCTGCCCTCCTCTTTATCAGGAACGTATTTGTCTCCTTCCCTCACGTGCCTTCTCTGTCCTGAATGTAGTCTATGGTGTTTTCACCAACTCGGTTAGCTTGTCACTGTGGAGATTCTCAGTGTGTGAGAGACTTTGAGGAACTGGGTAGAGCAGAGAGCCAACCGCGGAAGATTTGAGGAGGATTCTGTTTGGAAGCATGGGAAAGAGCCATGCGGATTCTCCCCAAGTGCGCGATAGACTCGCTCGCTTTCACATCCACCAAGGTAAAGAGCTTCACAGGGGTTAGTTACACAAGCCTCCCAGAAGCTCCACGAGCAGATACGGTAACTGTCCCCAGGTCACAGATGTGGAGGTGTGAGCAGTTTCACCACCTGCCTGAAGTCTTGGCTGAAGACGGTCCAGGGAGGAGACTTGAACTGTAGACACAGGGACATGAGCCTCCACATGAGTGTTGTAGCAGTTCATTGTTCTCCCAAATGAGACCGTGTGTCACCAGGAGGATGTGCAGGCCATCACGGCTGTTCTCTGGATGGCCTTGTGTTTCCAGTGTCTCGTTACTGTCCAAGTTTTTGTAGTGTGAGGGAGAGCCCCCTGGACTCTATTCTTTGTTTGGTCCAATACGCATCCTATGAAGATGTGTGCAAAGTGCTAAGTGTGGTTAAAGGAGCTCACTCATCTAATGGGAAGGCTGTTTCACATAGTTTCCATTTTCTTTCTTCCTTCCTTCCTTCCTTCCTTCCTTTCTTCCTTCCTTCCTTCCTTCCTTCCTTCCTTCCTTCCTTCCTTCCTTCCTTCCTTCCTTTCTTTCTCTCTCTCTCTCTCTCTCTCTCTTTCTTTCTTTCTCTTTCTCTTTCCTTCTCTCCTTTCTTTCTCTTTCTCTCTCTCTTTCCTTCTCTCCTTTCTTTCTCTCTTCCTTTCTTTATCTCCTTTCTCTCTCTCTTTCTTTCTCTCTCTCTCTCTCTCTCTCTTTCTTTCTCTTTCTCTTTCTTTCTCTCTCTTTCTTTCTCTCTCCCTCTCTCTCTTTCTCTCTCTCTCTCTCTCTTTCTTTCTTATAGGGTTTCTGTATGTAACAGTCCTGTTACACAGTTCTATCTGTCCTGAAACTCACTTTGTAGCCCAGGCTGGCCTCTTAACTCACAGAGATCCACCTGCCTTTTCCTCCTGAGTGCTGGGATTAAAGGTGTTCACCACCACCACCCAGCCAGTTTCCATTTTCTATATGTGTGGAACCCATGACAGATATGGCATGGGAACTATGAAATACCCACACAGGCAGAAGGTAAAATTAGGAGCTCAATCACTACTTTATACACATCCACCTTGGGTCTTCCTCAGCTTGTGAAAGTCTTATAAGACCAGCAGGTGTTCATATCTGCTCCTCTGTAGGAAGTGTGTGATGGTTGGTAAAACACAGTGGGGCAGCGGCTCTTCTTAGCCACCGCTGTTCACAATTATAGTAAAATCTAGAGCTTAAGAGAGAGAATAACGCTTGAAAAACAGTTCTTGCTGTAAATGTAAATTCTGCTTGCTATAGTTGTTCTCTGGTCATGGTTTTTTCCTTTTGAAAAATAAAAATTAGCCTTTTATTTTCTGTCTTCTGCAAACGTTACACACACACACACACACACACACACACACACACACACTTCGCTAAAATGTTTCTTTCTTGCTTTGAAAGCATTCTGAGAAAACAAGGGGAGTTTTAAATACTCTGCATTTATGCAGAGCTCTGAGAAGAGCCTGTCTATCGAATGAGTAATAGGATATTATTTTCTCTTGTTTTTTGTGGTTTGATGGCAGCTGTTTTCAAGTTTGTTTGTTTGTTTTTGTTTTCCGAGACAGGGTTTCTCTGTGTAGCTTTGCGCCTTTCCTGGATCTCACTTTGTAGACCAGGCTGGCCTCGAACTCACAGAGATCCGCCTGGCTCTGCCTCCCGAGTGCTGGGATTAAAGGTGTGTGCCGCCACCGCCCGGCTGCTTTCAGGTTTTTTAAAAAGTAAAGTTGATAGAGAACTCAACATCAGTACCCTCATCTTGCACTTTCTGTCGTGCTCCGGGGTGAAGGTGGGGTTTGGAGACTAATGCTGCTGTCCCAGGGGACTAGTCTGTGTCTCTGGACTTCTTGGGTTTATATTATATTTCTTAATATACTTCCTATTAATTGTTTCTCCAAGACTGGCTTAGAAGTGATCAGTGTTTGAAAGACCTCTAGATTAGACCTAAAGAACTTGTCCTTGCCACAGTTCCCCCAGATCCTTTGGTCCACATACTCTCAACTAGGGTCGGGGGCTGGGGTGTTGCATGGCATTCTGGCCACTTTCAGTTTGGAAAAGGGGAGTAGTTAAAAAACAACTGTGTTAGAAGAAGAAGACATGGTTCATGATACTGGCTTTAGGACCTGGAAAGGGGACTTCTCTCTCCTGAGCCTCGTAAAGGATGGGACTGTGCCCGTTCTTCAATGTGGCGGGATTAGCAGGGCACATTAGAAGTATCATGGTCACCCTTGCTTGTAGAAGGTGTCTTAAGTGAGTCACTGGTCAGGTTCAGCAGCGTATTCTTTTTTGTGGAACTTACTATAATTTTGTGATGGACAAGGATGAGCCACATTGCTTTTCACGGATACTGAGTCAGCTGGTATTTGAGATGACAGTCATCATTTGTGAACAATTGTCAGAGAAATGTTTCTCCATCGGTCCTGCAAACATCCAGTTCTGTTCTCTTCCGACCTGTAGTCTAGATGGGGAGGCCACGTCCACCGAAGAGGAGCTTCTGCCCTAGTCAGTTGTGTCTTTGTGCTTTCTACAGATGGATGACAACCTCCGCCAGAGCCCTCAACTTCTTCCCCGGAAGCTGCCCACCCTCAGGCTGACTCCCGCAGAGGAGGAGAGTAGTTCCCTACAGCGGCTGTCACCCTGACAGCTGTGGCCATCGCTTATACCGAGTGCACGGAGACCCAAAGAACAAACGCTGTAATAGGTGTAAGGAAGACTTTCCGTAAAAGAAGGAACTGTATGTGACTTCCTTTTTAATTAGAGAATCTTTGATTTCCTCTTGGCAGCGCATTTTAAATAAAGGGGAACGCTAAGCGAACTGGGTGGGTGGGTGGGTGGGGCAGATACATGGTACTGTATATAAAAATCCTGCCTTAATCATGGCAGATCTTTGCCTTTGGTTCAGGTGTCGCTGGCTAAAAGCTGCAATTCTGTTCTGAATGTGCATTTTTAAGTTATTTAAGTTAATTTTATTAACTTATTTTTCTTAGCCCTGTCTCAATACCTAATATGTGGCTTTTTTGGCTGAGATCCTATTCTTCTTTTTTGAAGTCTAATGCCTATTTCAGGAACTAGGAAAAATAGAAATTATTTCAATAGAAAAGCCTGAATTTAACTTTAAAAAGCAGTGAGGAATGTGCTTTTTAATTATTCTCTTGTAAGTCTGAGTCTTTGGTGGCTTAGTGCCACATCTGCAGATGTTCAGGGTGGTTATATAACACGCACCTGATAGCACATGGCGGTGTGAATAAGTACTGCTGATATGTTTGCTCTAAGCTAGCAAAGGCCAATGTGGCATCGTTAGACCTGTGTATTTAGACACTGTTTGTTGCCCACTTGCTCATTCTTGTATCGATTCCAGAACTGGAAGTCTAGCTCCTCTTACCAGAACTGGAAGTCTAGCTCCTCTTACCAGAACTGGAAGTCTAGCTCCTCTTACCAGAACTGGGAGTCTAGCTCCTCTTAGAGTGCTCAGCTGAAACCCTTACTGCACTGTGCTCAGTTAACTGTTAAGCATCCTTGGGATGAGCTGCTGTGAGGTCCTAGAGACACCTCCCATGTGCCTGGTTTCAGTGCTCCATACTCCATTCAGAACAGTTTCTTTCATAATAAGTATATCATGTAGTCACACACTTTCTGACAAGCTATTATTTTCTGTGTATTTTTAAGTACAGTTGCAGGATCCAAAGGAAGAGGTAAAAACTAACAGATTTCTAAGACAATTTGTATTTATTGGTAGCTGAATGAGCTGTTTGAATATTTGCTGTGTGGAGATTTTACATGTAAGAGAGACATGCTTATTTTAGCGGCTGAGGTGCTTCTGTTGTCGAAAACCACTTCTGGGATTTTTAAAATGTAAGACCCTGTTTTGGCCCAGTGTCTTACAAGATTACCATGGTGCTCAGCAAAGCTTCCCAGGTCCTGCAGAAAGCAGGCTGCACTGTCCAGAGACTCGGCTGCTGGGAGCAGAGTGAAGCTCAGCTGCCTTTGACCTGCGCCATCCCAGTTGGCTCTGTGCGGGGTGGAGGAAAGTCTTAGGTCACTCACTGTAAAAACTGTTTCTTGAAAGCTTTCAATGAGTCACAAGGTGGTATTCACAGTCTTGTTCATCTCTTTGGGTGCATTTAGGTCAGGTACACATGAGTTTCATAATCCTTCTGTAAGAAAGGGATGTATGTAAGTGAGTGTATGCCTGGAAGTGTGGGTAGGGTTGGGTAAGTGTGTGTGATTGTGTGTGAGTGTGTGTGTTTGTAGGGTATGTGTGTGGTGTGTGTGTCACTCATCTTCTAAGGCAAGTTCCAGCAATCTGAAACCTGAGATTTTGTTTTGAAAGTCATGATCAAGAGACTCCATTATCTCTAGGATTGATCTATATTGGAGACGGATGGTTAGTACATTAATCAAACATCTGTTTATGCTTTAATCAGGTATAGTCATTTTCAATTATGATCTAATAGTAAGCCTTCCAAGAAGTATTTGAAGTAGCTTACAGTTGTAAAACACATGTAAAAATAGGACAATTATTTTTGAAAAGTAACAATTTCTAAGAGAAAGAACCGTATCAACACTACTAGATGTAAAATCAAGTATGAAATCTAACTGTGGGTGAAGTTAGAAGATAATATTGAGTTAAGTTCTTCTAGTTAACTGCTGATGTCTAAATTAAATGTGTAGAACAGCAGTTCTCAACCTGTGGGTCAAACAGCACTTCCAGGGGTCACATATCAGATACTCTGCATATCAGATACTCTGCATATCAGATACTCTGCATATCAGATACTCTGCATATCAGATACTCTGCATATCAGATACTCTGCATATCAGATGTTTACAGTACGATTCGTAACAGTAGCAAAATTAGTTATGAAGTAGCAACAAAAATAATTTCATGGTTGGGGGTCACCACAGCATGAGGAACTGTATGAAAGGGTCGCAGCGTTAGGAAGACCGAGAACCTGGTATAGAAGAATGCAGCAGATCATGTCAGAAGACTTCAGCCAGGAAGTGTACTGTAATGTTTTGTGCACTGGACTCTTAATCAAAAGCTTCGTTTTAGAATAACAAGCGTTCGTCCTTTTGGGTGGAGAGGATGACTGTGAAGGGATTTATTTTTCTGATTCCTGGTCACCCTGCCCAGAACTGCCTTTAGCCTTACAGTCTGCAGCCCATGTGCTTGAAGACCACATTTCTGAGATGCAGAACCAGAGTCAAGCGAGAACTTAAATGTCGGGTTCCTTCGTTCAGCTTGGTTTGTCCAAGCGAGTGAGTGATAGAAAATGGACTGAGCACAGAAGGCCTTAGGGACCAAACACACAGAGAAGCTCTTAGAAGGAAATCATTTCTTAGACTGGACAAAGGGCCCATGTCACCCTGTGAGGATGTTTGTGCTGGAAGCTTGAGTGTGCCGGGAAAAGTGGTCCGTGGCCTTGACCGAATACTGTGAGCCATTGTCTTCTGGGGGTAGAGGATAGTATGAAAACAAGGACTCTGCTCGTTTTTATTTTTGTTGATAGTACAGAGCTAGAGAAATTGGTTTGCTAATTCCCACAGGTTAAACACCCTGAATGAACACTGTGTCCCGGTGGTGACCTAACACTAAAGACATTGCAGACTAGGGAGATGGGAGTTTCCCAGAACTTCGGCCTCACAGGAGGGTCACATTAACTAACAAATTTCATTTTAAGTGTGCTTGAATTGTTTTGGGGTACTACAGGACCCATTTTTTTTTTAAAGAAACTATTTTTATTTCTACTTGTAATTCCTAACAATTTACTGTTGATAGATATAATAACACTAAGGAACAAAGACATTTATGTTGGAGCTAAGTTAAAAATTTTCAGAGTCTAAAAGTGGGGGAAATTATCAACAAAGGCAGAAACTGGTAATGGACTATTTTAAGAAAACCATTTTGTTCAGGTAGCTTCGTGTGATAAAGTGGGATTTGAATTAGACAGTGTTCCTTTAGAACCTCTTTCAAACATATGTACCTGACAAGCTTGTTAAAAATAGTTTTTCATGGGGTGGGACAGTTTTTTGACAGCCACAGCTGTAACCACTCAGAGCCAGAATATAAATGTTTATGTATGGACGGGGGCTGAAAAGATGGCTCAGTACTTAAGAGAACTTACTGCTCCTGCTGAGGACCTGAATTCAGTTCCCAGGACATACGTCAGGTGGTTACAACCTCCTATAGCTCTAGCTCCAGGGGATCTGGTGCCCCCTTCTGGAATCCATGAGTACCTGCACCCACAATGTGTATTACCCACCCCCACCCCCACATACACATAATTGACAGTAAAATAAATTTAAATATATGTAGGAAGCTGAATGAGAGGACCATGGGATATCTCACTTCTATTTTTGTAATGCCTTCAGAGTCTAATTATTTAAAAAAAATATTTTTAAAGCAAAGTTAATAGAGTTAAGTTTATTACTATCTACATAAACGTGTCTTAAATTTTAACACTACAGACCTAGTATTTAGTTACAAATGAGAACTACATTATATCTTGCTAAAATTTATATTTCATTCTTGAGTTTAAAGAAAAGGCAGCTAAAGTTTCTAACAAATTGTTCTCTGACACTCTCGTCTGCCTTACCAAGAAAGTTTTTCTGACAACCTTACACCAAAAACTTATTTTTCATAAACTAGCAAAGTGCTTATGATTTCATGTTTCTACTTTGTGTGTTTTTTTCCCCCTGTGACAGCTGGGTTCACATTTGAGGACAAAGTATTTTGAGACTTTTCTTCAGTCTTTGGTCATTCCTTCTTGTCTTGCTTTTTTTTTTTTTGTTTGTTTGTTTCGTTTTGTTTTTCTCTGTATTCACAGTGTGGTGTAGCTGTGCACACTGATGCCACCGTCTATCATGGAAGGTGTGACGTAGCTGTGCACATAGCTTTAAGGTCAAGGGAGTTTGTAATTGATTTTGTCTTGTTGTGGTTATTTTTAGAGTTGAAATCGTGAACAAAGCCACAGCGATCATTTGAGTTACAGTGATTATCCTTTGTGTATGTTCTTAGTGGTTAAAAAAAAAAAGAGTTCCATGTCGTTTCCCCCCCCATCCCCCCCTCCCCTCGCTGTTGTTCAGTTATGGGAAGTTTACATTTATTTCTTAGTGCTTACATATTTCTTAAACAAATTTGAAAGAAATCTGTGGTTACATGCAATCCTAGTGCAGTGGTTTCGCCTGAAAGGTTTTGTTGAAGCTTCATTGGCTTTCAGAATGCTGATTTTGTAAACAGTTGAGTGCAGAAGTTGCTGTCGGGTGTTGTAGTCTCCAGGAGCCCAGGCTGCTTGTCGTGCAGTTAGGACCATCGTGACAGAAGCAGTGGGGACTCTGGGAATTAAAAAGGCTTCAAAAATGTTTTTTGTCCATCCTCCCCCGCCCCCAAAGTATCCCATGGATTACTTAGAAGAATTAGCATTCTTGAACATGATACAATAAAAGGGAGACTTGAGTTGATTGCTTGTGAATAGTGAGGGGTGTGTTGTGATAGACTCTTACTCAAACAGAATAAAATAGTCTCTTTAAAAGGAAAAAAAGGCTAGTTATTTTTGTGCTCTTATTATTATTAATTTAAAATT